AGAGAGCGAGAGAGCGAGAGAGCGAGAGAGCGAGAGAGCGAGAGAGCCACAGCCAGAATTGTTAGTCTCAGAGCCTTCCTGATGAGAAGTACAATAACACTTCAGATGTCTGGAGACCATTAACCCCAAATTCTCCCCACAGATGCTGTCAGACCTGCTGAGTTATGCTAGTAATTGCTATTTTGTTATAGGGTCAGGGTCTGATCTGTACAGCATGGAAACAGACCCTTTGATCCAACCATTCAATGCCAACCAGATATCCTAAATAACTAGTCCCATTTTCCAGCATTTGGCCCATATCCTTCTAAACCCTTTGCAATCACGTACTCATCCTTTTAAGTGTTTTAATTGTACCAGCCTCCATGACTTCCGCTGGCAGCTTATTCCATACACGCACCAACCCTTTCGTGGAAAAAAGTTGTCCCTTAGGTTGCTTTTAAATCTTTCCCTGCTTACCTTAAACCTATGCCCTCTATTTTTGGACTCTCCCTACCCTGGGGAAAAGGCCTTGCTTATTCACCCTATCCATGCCCCTCATGATTTTATAAAAGGTCACCCCTCAAGTCTCCGATGCTCCAAGGAAAATAGCCCCAGCCTATTCAGCCTCTCCCTATAATTCAAGCCCTCCAACCCTGGCACCATCTTTGTAAATCTTTTCTGAACCCTTAAGGTTTCACAACATTTCTCCCCCACAGCAGGGAGACCAGAACTGCAAGCAGTATTGCAAAATTGGCCTTGTGGATATTTTGTTCTTCAGCAAGTTCTGTGTGCCAATTTCCAATCACATTGCCCTACGCTAGAAGAGAGAATGGCAGCAAAATGAAACGATCAGGACTAGAAAGAAGGCACTATTCAAATTCACATTCATTGCCTGCAGGGGGAAAAACAAAAATTCTTCAGTCGATACCTCCCACTTTAGTTCTGGAAGGCAACCTCCAAAATCAATAAATCTTGTCATTGCCAGCAATGGGTCACATCCAGTTAACAAATCAAGGAAAAGCGTTATCTAGTATCTGATCTCTAGACTAATCTTGTGCTCACTCAAGAGACAAAAGCAATCTTTTTCTCGTACCGAATAAAGAGATCAAAAATCATTAACTTCTATTCTCACATCTGTGTGTCCAAACTCCAAGTCTAGAAGCTGTATTTGCCCTTTCCGCCAATACCGCACGTATTTCAAAAAGATCTTATAAAGTTCTTCACGTAAGATGAAGTATCTTTGAAGTTTAGTGACTGAAATGCGAGTGAACATCACTCTCAGACACATTGTAAGTTATTAACTCACTGAAAACAATACATTCCTCCACTAGGTTGCAACACTGCAAAACAAAAGCTCACATTCCGACATCCATCATCTGGAGGGTTAAACATTTTAAGTTAAAGATTAGGCATGCCCTTTGTATCTGAAAACATATTGAAATCATGTCCAATAAATTATTTACATTCTGCATTGGTTAATCACATACATCATTTAATCCACTCACCACTTTCCTGGAAGTAGTATCCGTTCACTGTTGAGCTTGGGGTATCTGGATTAAAAATAAAAACGAGAGCAGGATTGGACTTTAGTTCACCGTCAAAAGTACGTGGAAGAATTACATTCTTTTTTTCTGTTTACATGACCATCTACCCCTCGACCAACTTTGATCATACTTTTCACTGCCTGTATCATTACCTAAATCAAGTCCCTCTTACAAGTGTGTCTCCTTGTGCTGACAACTTCAAAAATCTAAACATTCTGATCATGTTTAAATTTTTCTGTAGCTACGCCCTTCCCATCTTTAATTTCCTGAACCAGTAATCCAGAGGCTCTGCCTAAATGACCACAAACCTGTAAGACGTAGAAACAGAACTGGAGACCCAAGTTCAAATCCTGCCATGGCAGATGGTGAACTGTGAAAATCAATTTTAAACAAAATCTGGAATCAAGAGTCTGAGGACGACTATGAAGCCATTATCGGAAAACCCCCATCTAGTTCACTAGTGTCCTTTCGGGATGGAAGCTACCATCCTTACCCAGTCTGGCTCAATGTGTGACTACAGATCCACAACAATGTCGTGGACTCTTTGCTGCATTCCAGACAATAAATGTTGGGATAACAAGGTGTGCAGCTGGATGAACACAGCAGGCCAAGCAGCATCATAGGAGCAGGAAGGCTGACATTTCAGGCCTAGACCTGTTGGCCCTACCAGCTACACCCATATCCTGTGAACAAATTAAATTAGGCCATTTGACACACCAAATCTGCTCCATAATTCCACAGAATCACAGCTGATTTAGTAAGCCTCCACTCCAATTTCTTATTTTTCTCCATAATTCTTGATTCCCTCCCTGACTAAAAATCTGCCTATTTCACCACCAGATTCTAAAGCCCTCTGCAGTAAAGAATTCTACAGATTCACTACCTTCCAGGAAATTCCTCCTCACCTCAGTTTTAAAAGTGTGGAATCCATTACTTAGATGATACCCTCTGGTCCTGGTCTCTCCCACAAGGAGAATCAACCTCACAGCTACCCTGTAAAGCCCTTAAGAATCTTTTATGGTTTCAATAAAGTCTCTTCTCATTCTCCCAAATTCCCAAAAGAACACAGCGCAATAAATGTTAGTACAGCCAACAACATTCATCCCATGGAGGGAATAAAGGAAAACCTATGTACTTCAATTTTGCTCATAAGAAAATCCCCTCAATAACTGGAATGCTAGAGAGACACATTCAAATCTCACTCTGCCAGCTAGAGCAATTTTAAAATAAAAAAAAACAATAAATCTGGAAAGAAAAAAGATTTTAAAAAAACCACCATTCATTTCAGGTGTCCTCAAGGTGGAAAATCTGCCATTTTTATGCCCACAACAATGGATAGAAGGCAGGAGACTGGGGTTGAGAAATGTATCAGCCACAGTTGAATGGGCCGAATGGCCTAATCCTGCTCTTATAACCTTATGGTCTAATGAGGCTGGCTCCCAGTTGAAATGGCCCAGCAAGTTGTTCAGTTGCATTAAAAGAAAGAATGACAGAAAAGCAGTGGATGTACCGACACCCTGTGGGACAGCATTGGTTTCAGAAAAGACATTACCATCTCCCTCAAAAAAAGCCATTAGGTAATTAACATTGACCTCACCACAAGGCTGAGCAGTATACCAACAAATATCTTACACACAGTCTCCCCATTCGCCAAACATCAAATAAATAAATCGGGGAGACTGGCATTCAGCTCCCAAATGGTAACAACCATATCACTGCCTTTATATGACATAAACCACATAAGCAGCCTCTAAAAAGGTATGAAAGTTCCATATGAAAAAAAACCTTGATTATGTTACGACATGCTGCTGTCCTCACATTCTGGTGCCTAAATAATTTCTTGCAGAACTTCATACACTCATGATCATGCCTCTGGTTACAAATGAGAGGCATTTACAAGATTCTGTTTTCTTATTAGAGCCAAGAAAACAGAGAAAAGAACAGGATCAGATGACACTATGAATTCTGCTGACTCTTTCTGTTAATGGTGCATCTACCTTGGGGACACAGTTAAGGATAACCTTGGAATCATTTTATATTTTAAAGCATAACGTCACTTAAAAAAAAAAAAAGTGTTTAGGCCACGGTGCCTTTAGCTTGTGTGTTACTAAGCTTTAGAATGTAAAATCTTTGTGCATCATCCTTTCAACTAAACCATTTGAAGTTCAAATTTATTTTTTGAAGAGGTTGTTATCAGTCTCAAAGAGGAGTGGAACTCTCAGCAACATTCATCAACAATTAGACTCGATACTCACCGCACAAATTCTGCAGGTCACAATCACTGATGTGTGCCCACTGTGAAAGTATAGTTTGTAAAAGAAGACAAAATCCTAATGCAATGACAAATGTAATTGCCCCTTTTCACATCATTCCACTTTGGCGTTACTGAAATTTTAGGACTGGTTACCTGTCACAAGATTAATTTTAACGTAGCTCGCTGCAGTACTTTGACACCATTTTGGTGTGATCTCTCCCTCTCTCACACTTGAGGACACTCCTGGCCAGCAGTCAGGGTCATGCAGCACAGAAACAGGCCCTCTGGTCCATTTCGTCCAGGACAATCAGGTTTCCAAAACTGACCTAGTCCCATTTGCCTGCATATTGTCTATATCCTTCTATTATCTTTCTTATCCATGAACCTGTCCAAATGCCTTCAAATTGTTGTAATTGTACCAGCCTCTACCACTTCCTCTGGCAGCTTATTCCAAACACACACCGCTCTCTTTGAAAATGTTGCCCTCATGTCCCTTTTAAACCTTTCCCCTCTCACCTTAAACCTATGCTCTCTACTTTTGGACTCCCCTAACTTGCGGAGAAGGCTTTGGCTATTCACCGTATCTATGCGTTTCATGATTTTGTGAACCTCTATAAAGATTACCCCTCAGTCTCCAACGTTCCAGGATAGAAAGTCCCAGCCTATCCCCCACGCCCCGTGGCACTGCCTGGGGTCTTAACCCAGGAACACACCCCCTACCTCCCCAATCACAATGCCCCAGGGCTGCCCACTCGAACAGTGGCCAGCCAGATCATGCTGCAACTCAATGGCATCCCAACCTGGACTCAAGTGAGGGACTCAGCAAATCCCCTCCCGACTGGGTTGGTCAGCAACACCGAGGGGGTCAAGTTTGCAGGGTGGGGGGAGGTTGGTAGGAAAAGGTGAACGCCAGCGAGCTCAACCATACCCTGCTGAGTGTGGGGGCCGGGGAGGAGAATAGGAAGTCCCAGGTAGCTACCAACCCGAGAGATCCTACCTGAACAGCACCATGAAGTGACCACAGGAGGCAGAAATAGCCAGCAAGGGACTTTACAGATCCCGATAAAGAGAAAAGGAATCAGTCGGGATGTGGCCAGGAACACAAAAAAAGAGCTCCAGCAGTGGCCTGGAGAACAGTGAGCAAAAGGCTGTACTCCCCCTTCGCACACAGCACAGAGGTGCCCTCAAAAGGGTCCATTTCACAGAGGAGGCATTGGCCTAGTGGTATTATTACTAGACTATTAGCCCAGACATCCAGGCAATGTTCTGGGGACACAAGTTTGAATCCCACCAGATGGCGAAGTTTGAATTTAAAACAAAACATATGAATTAAGGGTCTAACGATGACCATGAAATGATTGACAATGTCAGGAAAAACCCATCTCATTCACTAATGCCCTTCGGGAATGGAAATCTGCCATCCTTTCCTGGTCTGGCCTATATGCAACTCCAGAACCCACACTGAAAGTCACAAATCACAAAAAAAAAAAAAAAAAATTCCAGATGAGGAAAGTCATCTCAATTTTGGACCAGAACAAAAAAGTCTTTCAAATAAAAAAAAAAGAATAATTTTATTCGACAATTAGTAGCTCTGTTCTCAAAGAGATATATAAAGAAACTGAATAGCACTGTGCTTTCAAACAATTATTCCCTTCACACGATATCAAGAAACAAGCCCTGGCAGTGCCCAATGCTATGGGCCCTGACAACATTTTGGCATTAGTACTGAAGACTTGTGCTCCAGAATTAGCCATGCCACAATAAGCTACAGCTACAACCCAACAATATGTACAATTGTTACAGGGATAGTAGGAACTGCTGATGCTGGAGAATCTGAGATAACAAGGTGTAGAGCTGGATGAACACAGCAGACCAAGCAGCATCAGAGGAGCAGGAAAGCTGACGTCTCGGGTCTAGACCCTTCAGAAATTCTTCATTTCTGAAAAACAATATGTACAATTGTCCAAGTTATGTCCTGTCCACAAAAGACAGGATGAATCCAACCTCAGTCTACTTTCAAACTGATTGGAGGCGTCATCAACAGTGCCTCATCAAAAACATTAATATACATTGTGCAGCTGGACCCAAACACGGATCCCACTGGTACCCCACTAATCACTGCCTGCCAGTCAGTAAAAATCCCTATTCCTGCTCTTTACTTGTCTGCCAACCAGTTCTCTACCCAGAAATTGCTGGTTAAACTCAGCAGGTCTGGTGCATCTGTGGAGGGAAATCAATTACTGTTTCAGGTTCTGTGACCCTTCTTCAGAACTGAAGGGTCCTGAAACATTAACTTTGCTTTCTCTTCACAAATGCTGCTAGACCTGAGTTTCTCCAGCAATTTCTCTTGTCATTTCCACTGGTTTCCCCCTCATCAACTCTACAGAAAAATCTCAGTAGATTTGACAAGCACGATTTCTCTTTCATAAGTCAATGCTGAATCTGTCTAATCCTGTCACTGTTTTCAAAGTGCTCTGCTATCCAAATCTTTTATAATGGATTCCAGCATTTTCCCTACAACCCACATCAGACTAACTGGTCTATAATTTTTTGTCTCTTTTTAAAAAAATATGGTGGGGTTACATTAGTTACACTCCAATCCATAGGAACTTTGAAAGTCTACAGAATCTTGAAAGACAACCACTAATGCATCCACTTTTGTAGGGCTACTTGCTTAAGTACTCTGGGATGTAGATTTTTGGGACCTGGGAATTTGATTGGCCTTGAATCCCAATTTCCCAAAACATTATTT